ATAAAAATACCATCTACTGGAGTATACAAAAAATGATTAGGTGCAATATGCAAGGTAGAAAATCGTGCATTAGTTAGAACTATTTAATCCTACAGTTTTCCCATAAACCGTTTCTTGTTCTTTAATGTGATGAAAAGTTTCCGACTCTCAAACAAAGCCATGGTAAGAAAATTTAGTATTTTGAGCAATGCATTGTGTCGGAGGTCAAGAACTCCTTTGCATTTGTTTATAGATGATATGTCTTTGTTATTCATATGCATTTTTAAAGATGACTTTCCCTAAGTCATCACCAGTTCACCACTACTAGTATTAGTCTTGCATAGCCGGTGTAGTCTCTTTCGCGTGGTTAGATAGACCAAAATGGCTAGGTTCATCATTCACATAGGGAATTCGTGCATGTATTAGATCTGCTTCAAGTCTAAAATATTCAAGCAACAAGAGAGGAAAGAAAGAAAACAATGCGTCAGAAATGTGAATGAAACTATGGTATAGCTCAAACATAGTACATGAATCCACCATCAAAATCTCTTATTGAATTATGTGGAGAAGAAGACAATCCAAATCAATAAACTTGACATGATCGTTCTAAATTACAAAAATAAAAAAATTCAAATTTTTTATTTTGTATTTTCGTTTGAATTGATCATTGATTTTTCTTAATTTACAATTCGTTATTTCGAACCGCGTCTAATTAAATTGGTATGACAATTTTTGTAACTCCATCGACAAACAGAAGTGTTACTTATAATAATCAATTAGTTTATTGACATTTACCTAATTGTATGAATATATCGAAGGGAAAAATATGAAAATAGGGAAAAAGTATAAATTAAAATTATAGGCCAGATTTTTTAATATTAGAAATATACACCATGGTTGACTTTATTACCCTTAAATTGTAATTATTTAAAAAACATAAAAAAACTATTAAACCACCGTCGTTTCTCCACTTTCCCTTTCTCCGACCGAAGTAAGCAATCACCGATGGTGTCTCGCTTAGACCATCTCCAATGTATATCTCTATTTTTATCTCTAAAATAGAAAAAATTATAGCATTTCTCTATTTATTCTCCAATGTATCTCTATTTTAGAGGAATTGCTATAATATAGAGGAAAAAATAACAATTTCCTACTTTTGCCTCTATATATA